AAGTTATCAGTGAAGTGTGAAGCGAAAAAGCGCGTCTGGGAATCCCGGAATCAACTTCTTAGTCTTCCGTATCCCGCCCCTCGTTCCGGACCCCGCTCACTTAATATACATGTATAATCCGGCGAATGCAGGCATGAAAAGCTTCGAAAGAAACTCATTTTCGCCGTTTGCATGCGGTCAAGTCCAGATACGGGTTCAACATGGCAAGAAAGTCCCAAAAAGATGAAAAACTGGAAACTTAAGTACTGCCAGGACACTGCCTTTGAGCTGGATATGCTGAACTCCTTCAAAGCTTGGGAGGCCCTATCAGAGTACACTCGCCTTTAGATTGCAGTTCGGCACATAATGCCACCCCCACCCCACGATGCGACAAATCATAATAGGAAAAAGGAGTGGTTCTCACTAATTCTTGTCAGTTTAGCAATCTCATAAATTATGTCTCATAATTAGTGCATAGTCACAAAAGTCTCAGTATCAGTATGCCAGTAAAATGCTCGGTCATCAAATAATCAACTGAAGGACGCTTATCACATCATATAATCATCAAAGGTTAGTTATGATGATTAAGATCGCGTATCGAAAAAATAACGAACACGTGTGCGGTACAGCGGCAATGTGGACATAGACAGAATAGTTGTTTATCCAACTTTATCGTATAGCAGTTTCGAAGAAAATGGAGTTTTATTTTGGAGTTCTACGTTTTATCTATTACTTTTTCCTTTCTTCTTCTTCTCTTGAGGCGAACTGCACATTACCTCTCGGCGGACATTCACAATAGCCACCGTCATCACCAGCTTTCCCAGCAGGTCCAGGCTATAAAAGCAGATATTTTCCCAATTTCCACAAGAGTAAAACTCGTACCATCCCATTTTCACCGGGGAACCCTGCTGCTCCATCTAATCCTTCCCGTCCAGGTGGTCCTTCCGGTCCCATTTCACCAGGTTCTCCATTCATCCCAGGTGTTCCCGCCGGACCAGGCTTTCCACGAAGACCAGGTCTACCTCTAGGGCCAGGAGGTCCTCTACCAGTGAAGCAGTCCTTTCCGGGAGGCCCGTCCATACCTCTCTGAATGAGAACAATATGCTTTTCTCTGAATGACGTATCGAGACGCCCTCATACCTGCCCTTCCATTCCTTGTTCGCCTTGATCACCTTCTGGGCCGCGCTCACCTGGGTCACCATCGGAACCAGGTGGGCCGCGTTTGCCTGGTTGTCCAGGACGTCCTGGCGGTCCGGGGGGTCCATCCGGCCCCGGTATTCCTTTTTCGCCCGGAGGACAGACGATAAGGACTGTAACACACCGTAGCTAATAGGAGGAG